AATCCTGAAATTTAAACAACAAAAATAGGTAGTAAGTCCCTCAAGTTAAATTCAAAAATAATAATGTCCCATTAAGTAATATTATTGGTTTCATAATTAATGTTAAACTAATTTTTAATAATAACAGAGTATTTACAGATAAAACAAAAACTCTCAAATATTAAAATACTATGAACAAAACACTCAAGATTGTGAAAAAAACTATATATAATGGTTGTACAGCATAAACATACAGTTTAAGAAATGAAGAACAAAAAAGAGACAAAATAGAATAAGTTCATTTCATAAAAAAACTTTACTTGTATATATATATATATATATATATATATTATATATATATATAAAGTTATAATTGAATAAAAAAAAATATTTAATTTATAACTTTTTTTACAGAATTTACAGAAGGTTTCTCATCCACGACCTTTTCAGATTCCTCATGATGTAGTCAGGCATGTTAGTAGTGGCCATTTTTATTATAAGCTTATTTTACTATAACTATGTAATTTGTAATGAAATCTTTTGTAGTGAGTCCGTATGTATTCCCTGCTTTTGGGTAAAGGTCGGTGTAGAAAAGCCACGTTTGAAATGTATCGAAGTGCTTTTGTTATAAGTCAAAACATTTTGGATTGAAATGTTTGTATGTGTGTCTTTTTAGCAGAACCGAAAATTTGAGAAGCGTAAGACCAAATCGGTTTCAGTAAGTATGTGTAGGTAGCACTAGCGGGTCCAGGATTTAATTTTGGGGGAGGAGAGCTTCAGCCCGAAATCTACTTTTTTTCATAAAAATAACAATAATTGCTTTGGAAAAAATAAATAAACTAACTGCCTACATGAAATGATGTTTAAGTGATTCCTAAAGTCCTTTCAAATGTGATTACATGAACAATAATACTTAATTTTTTAATATTTTTTCCATAAAACATGGTTACATTTTACCATTTTGGGGGGGAGGCTTCAGCTCGAAAGCCTCCTCCCTCCCCCTGTAGATCTGCCCGTGGTAGGTAGCAAGTTTCTGTCTCAGTTTTAATTTTGATTTGAGTAATAAGTATAACAATTTACTTCTTCGATTTAATCTTATTTTGCTATGTGAATACCAGCTTTGTAAATTTAATAAGTGATTTTGTAGGTGTAACCAATATCCTTTGGAATTTAACTCTCAATTTTTCATGTGGGCTTAGATTTCTATGTCTGACAAATTACAGTAATATATCTATAATAAGAAGCTGATAGGTAACTGGAAGACTGTTGCGAGACTTGCACAAGTCCAAGACACCTCATGGTCTCGCATTTGGGCAACACTAGTTGTGGTATTCAGTCATAAGCAATATAAATAAATTATATTCATTAAATTTACATTAAATAATTTATTTTTATTAAATTTACATTAAATAATTTATATTTATTAAATTTTCATTAAATAATTTATAATTACTAAATTTGCATTAAATAATTTGTATTTATTAAATTTAGATTAAATAATTTACATTTATTTAAAGTTTTTTTTTTTTCTAAAGGTGAATATTAAGAAGAAAAATAAAAATAGTTTCATGATTGCTGACTTAGAATTGAGTTTCTGGTTTTCCAATGAAAGTTAATTTTCACTCAGTTTTTGTTTAATGTTTTAATAATTAAATAAATTTGTTTGTGAAATTTGCCAATGAGAGAGTAAGATGAATACAATAGAAATCTTAATATGCCTAAGTTTATTGGAATATATTTTAAAAGAAATTAAACAGAAAAAAAAACAAATATTGTTCTTTGATTTTATTATTTATTTTCGCGTGATATAAGTGATTCATATGCTTCATACAGATTGTTCAACATCAATTCTATCTCCCAAACCATTCTAGTAAATAATTTGTTGCAACAAAGACAGACTATTCAAATATTAGTTTCCCGCCGATCCAATATGGCCGTCCCCTCCGTATGACCGCACTGTATTATTAAGCCACTATACCAATCCGCAATAGTGGCGCTTCCTGGTGGTGTGTTTTGTAAACCTTATCTGAAACATTGTGGATAACCTCAACTCAACCAAGATGGCCGGAGGAGTACCACTTATAAATAATTATAACTTTTTTCTTTTATCAGATTTTAGTATTTTTAAAACAAAACATACATTTAAACATATTTAAATTACGTTTTTGGCAAATTTCGAATAACCGGAATTGCTACTTTATATCAACACTGAAAAACATTTTGATCATGATCGTGAATCATTGTATAATTAAGTGGTCTTTAATATGAACTAGGTCCTATCTCCATTGATATTACTTTACAGAGCTTAAATGCCCAACGTTCATATACGTCTTCTCCTAAAGTACCTTTAATATGTCTTTTTTTAAATAATTAATCATCTCACATTTTTACATGTTACGAAAAAATGCTAAATATAACTTTTGAAATAATTTGATAATTGAAGAAAGGAGAAAAAAAAAATAAAAACGCTTATCCAGTTCGAAAATGAATCTTCGGAAATACTAGTCACAAGGTATAGGTATAATATGTTATTGAAAAGCCGAGAATTTCAGAAAAAAATAATATCTAATATAGAAAGTTGTAGAAGGTAACAGAGATTGGTGACAAAATTATAAACAATATTTTTTGAAAACTAATATTATTTGACGTTAATCACATGTTTTGAAGAAAATTAAATGAAATTTACTAACTAAATGTAAACTTTTAAAATATTTTTAAGTTTCAAGTATTTAAAATCCACCTAATCAAGGCAATGCCATTGTTTAAAAAACTACTTCATTGTATTTGTGTGAAAGAAGAAGTGAAATATCAAATAATTTCATGGATGTACAAAGCGTATGTTTATAACCTTAAATACATTTACTTTAGTTTAATAATTATAGATTTGATATACTTAAATAATTAGGTATCAACGTCCGTTTATTCCGAAAAATTGTCATGTAACTTTTTAGAAAATTATTTTAATGAATATGATGAATTTTCCCTTTGTGGAATCCCAACATTATCATGTCTTCCTCTAAAAAACGTTTAATTTGGTTTATCATAAATAATAACTACTTTTCAAGGTTAGGAATAATGAAAAAATGTTAAATATAACTTTTGAAAGAATTTGATAATTGAATATGAGAAAAAAAAAAAAAGAAAAGTACATATCCCGATCCGAAAATGAATGTCCGGAAATAATAGTCAGAAGGTATATGTATAATATATCCTTGGAAACCGAGGAATTAAAACAGAAATATCTAATATAGAAAATTGTAAAAGGTAACGGAGAGTGGCGAAAAAAATATAAATAATGATTTCTAAAAACTGACATTATTGAACGTAAAACACATGTTTTCAAGAAAATTAAATGAAATTGTCTCAATAAATGTAAACTTAAAATTTTTTTTTTTAAGTTTGAAAAAGTATTTAAAATCCAAGGGTTCAAGGCAATGACACTGTTTAAGGTACTATTTCATTGTACTTGTGTGGAAGAAAAAGTAAAATAAAATAAAAATATTTCATGGATATGTTTATAACTATAAATATAATTACTGACTACTAAACAGAAAATCTAAATTTTCCATTGAAAACAAGCTACTGATCTACAAGACAATACTGAAACCTATTTGGACTTACGGACTAGAACTGTGGGGATCAGCAAAATTTTTTAACATCAAGCGCATCCAATCCTTCCAGTCAAAAGTCCTTCGAACAATAGTCGATGCTCCTTTCTATGTAACCAACAAAACCCTACATCATGACCTCAACATCCCATATGTCCTAGACCTTATCCCAGAAAAATTCTCCAAATTTCACCACAACCTTACGTACCACCCAAATCCTCTTGCACAGTCCCTATCAAGCACCTCCCACCCCTATAATCCTCCAAGAAGGTTGAAACGGCAGTGGCCTCGCGACCTTTTGTTGTAGATTGTATACATTGGAGTTCTGGCAATGGCCAGATTTTTCACTCAAGAGATGAGAGTATGTAGCTTAAGTGCTCTCGATCAATCTCCGATGGCTTTAGTGCCAGTGACGCGGTTGAGAGAGTAGCGCAGGGTTCTCCTGGAGTTCCCTCGCCTGATTGTATATAGGTATGCATGTTTTGTTTTTTTTTTGCTTAATTTTAATTTCCTTTTTTTTTAGGTTATTTTATTGTATTATCTATTGTATATACTTTTGATTATTATTTCGTTTCTATTTTTTTTTTTTTTTTTTTTTGTACATTTAGTGTGAATATCATCCTACCTCACTATAACCAATGTCCAAGAGACAGATTGTTGTAATACTTAATAAAGAAATAAAAAAAAAAACTGTAGTTCAATAACTCTAGATTTGATATTGCATTTAAATAATTACGTATCTATCATCCGTTTTTTCCGAAAAATCATCATGTAACCTTTTAGTAAATTAAATTAGTGAATAATTTGATTAATTTTCCCTTTGTGATATTCCAACAGTATTCACTTCCAATTAGTGTGACAACTTTTAACCTGTCTATGACAGAAAATGCAAATCTCTTAATTCCATTTTAGTAAACTGTGCAATGGAAAATAACAGCTTAATAACTAATAGCCGTACAATCCGTAATCAACGGATCGTACAACCCATAATCAACCGGTGATATATTAAATAGAACTTTTGTTATTTATGATTTGTTAGCTGTGAGCTTTTAGCTTTAGCTCGGTTAAAAATGCAATTCAAAAATTTTATAATAAGCCAACATGGCCAGAAAATATTTTCTATTCAACGTTGAGCGGTGAGTGAAAGTTGTGTGTTGCGCGCACCAGATTTTTGTTTTAATGAATTAGATTTTTAACAATAATTAAATACCCAAAAAACAAGACCGGTAGATTATTCATCGATAATTATATCGAAGCTTAAATGATCGATATTAGATGCCGAAATAGGAAGAAGATCGATGTATCAGGCAGTGGTGACAAGACGACACAGAGGATAAAACACTAACCGGTCGACCGCTAGACAGATTAGGCGAGGGGGTTACTCCTCTGCCAACAAGAGGAATTATAACGCAGATGAAACCCGATCGGTGTCCAGCTCCTATTCGGCCCCTCCTCTTTGATGCCCGTGAAAAACCCCACCAGCTGTCGTTAAACTGCCGGACGTGAAAATAAAAAGGAGAAAATAGTCTCGGAAAAAGGAAAAGTGTGCTGAGAAAAAAGACCACACTATCGTTGAATAAGGGATACTCAAGGCTTGGAATGTGGCAGCAATTAGAACAAGAGACTTGTTCCTCCGTCAGTCTCAGTTCTTAGCCCAGTTCTCCTCCTTTAGGATAATCTTTATACTTTACAAAGGCATATTATTACTATAAATAACAAAAAAAAACTAAGGTGTGTGCTTTAGACCACACGATAGAAGTGAAAACATCAACAAGGGAAGATCAATAATATGAAAAATAAATTATAAATAATAGCTCATTATAAAGTGGATGAAATTCTGAACATTTTCCTCGCTTACATTGTGCAGGTCCGATTTTTAGTTTTTGAGATATTTTAACCCATATATTCAACTAACCTTGTTATCATTTGGTTTTCGACACTATTTTTTCCTTTTCGCCTCCCTAAGACGGCGTCGCGTTAATATATAATTTTGAATTATATCTTATTACAGAGAGGATGAAAATCTGAACAATTTCCTCGCATATGGTTTGCAGGCCTGATTTTAGTTTCTGAGATATTTTAAACCATAATTAAAAACATTTCAATTAGTCGACTATAGCCGACATTACCCCAGAGTTAAAATCTGACGAATGAATCTAATTCACTCTCCACATAAAGTGCAAAATGCGCTTAAAAATGTTTTCACTTCAAAATACTTCATGAAATGCTCAAAAATAAAAAGTCGTACGAAAATGAAAATGCACATTTTAGATTTTTGCATGCCTAGGATGTAACAACTTTTTTGTCAAAATCGACTGAACCGACATTGGTACTATAAATTCGATTTAACAATTTTTACAGTTTTCTCAAAAACAACTCTAATAATTTTGTTAATTTCGTTGTCTAAAGTACCTTTAGGTATTTATTTTTATTTGAAATAATTAACCATTTCACATTGTAACCTAGTATAAAAAATGGTTAAACATAAAATATGAAAGAATCTTATAATTAACTAAAGGAGAAAGAGAGCGTGACGGTAATAGTATTAATAGAGAGACCGAAGAAACCCGAGCTCAGCCAAAAGGTTAGAAAAACCTTCCATGTGTAGCACGTGCTTCATGAGAGTGAACTGACAGGTGAAAAGATCATTCTGAACATTGAAGTGAATAGTCAGCTCTGTGTCATCTCGAAATGTTTGTTTACATTTCGATTTGATAAGGCTTTTTTGGCGTGGTTAATTGGGACCGCGGTGTCCATGGAGAGTCAGAACCCCCGCTTCCGATCCGAGGCTGGGCCAACTTCCAGGGACCGCTATCACCGTACTTTCCAGGTCCGCGTCCTTTGCTCCTTCCCTTCAACACCCAGCCTTAACGTTGGTAGAAGAAACGGATTTTGAAGCGAAATTGGAAAAACGAAAACGTCAGGCTAACGACGGCTTCGAAATGACTAAGAAGACCGTAAAAACCAAGAGAATTGGAGAACCTTCTGTAGTAGCTACTGCTAATAAATATCTCCTGTTAAATAGTATTTCAACCGAACCTCAATCTGCTATTGAAACTGTTATTCAACCAGCTCCCCAAACTACTTCTCAAACAAACCCAACCAAAATACCTCAAGTACCTCCGATAGTCATACCAGGCACACATTCAACAACCTTTATAACTGAATTCATGACTTCACTGAATATTACAAATTATTTTCTGCGCCGCACAAGAAAAGATTTACGTATTCTTCTCGATTCTGCCAATGATCCTACTCCTCTCTTGCGTGGTCTAACAGAAAAGAATATTAAATTCCATACATTCGCAGTTCGTGGAGATAAACAACGACCTCAGCTGTTTATACTAAAAAATCTCGATCACCAAGAAGACATTGAAAATGTTAAAACTTCCCTAGCACCAGTAGGTGTAATGGATGTTAGAAGGTTGCAAAAAAACGCTCCAGATGGATCAAAAATCACACATTCACCCATACTTGTGACTGTCCCTGCCAATGTCACAATTGAGGAGATTCGAGCCATAAAAGCGGCCAATAGAGTGATTTTTCGATTTGAGAAATATATAACTTGGCGAAGCGACCTCATCCAATGTTTCCGCTGCCAAAAATTCGGACATACGAGAAACTATTGCTGACACGTAGGCATATGCGTCAGATGCTCTAGACCTCATAATATTTCAGCATGTCCCCGACAGGTTCAACCAAAGTGCCCGAATTGCTCACAGGAACATGTTGTCTCGTTTCGCCAGTGCTCTTATCGACTTCAGTACAGTGAACAACTGCAGAAGAAAAAAGAAGAATTGGCCTTAAGAAAGAAAACAGCTACCAAATCTACCGATGCGACATCAAACCATACTTCGAATCCAAAGACTTATGCGACGACTTTAATACTTCCAACTGACCCATCGACACTCGAACAAGTACGAGAACTTCCTCCAGAAGCTGAACCACCACCATGGCTTACTCAGTTCCAAAAATCTATGAATGGACTAGTACAACAATTAATTACCATAATAAATTCAGTAGTGAACCTCGTTACCCAAAAATGAGAGAATACTCCATTCTTAACTTCAATTGTAACGGCCTGTCAGTCAAGATAGAAGAAATGGAAGCACTGTTAGCCATCACTGAGCCCTCTATTGCAATCATCACAGACACTCGGACACTGGATCGTCGCCCTTGCTTTCAGGGTTACTCAGTAGTCACCGATGAATGTTATGATCCTTATGGAGGTGTATTAATAGCGATACGTCACGGCATAACTTGGAAGAAGATACCTACAACAGTGCGCATAGTAGACAACAGAATTAGTCATCTCACTATACAAGTATTGATGCAACAGCCTACCTACATCACTGGTATCTATCGTCGACCTCGTGGGTCTCTAGGAGAACTACGAAAACTGCTTGAAATATGTGCGAAAAAAACAAACTATTGGCGCGTGGGAGATTTCAACGCTAGGCACAGTCGATGGCACAATACTTCTTCGAACGGAGCTGGAAAACATCTGGTGAAAACAGCTTTCAAGGTGCAACCAGCGACATACACTTTTCGCCATGAACCTCTACTATTGACCTCCTTCTCAATAGACAACCACGTCGTATTACTGGATGCTCTGCCCTTGACTTCATCACATCAGACCACCGCCCAGTTGTCTATAATATGCATGGAAGATCAGAAAAACCAATGGCGAAGAAATTTAAGTATCAGAAGGCAGACTGGAAGAGATATCGAGACGAAGTATTCAATAAACCGCAGGCAGTGCCTCCCCTCCGAACAAGAGAAGACGTTGACAATTACATCGAATTCTTCACCACTGTGCTTCTCGATGCTGCAGAATTAACCATACATACATTTCAGCCACAACCACCGCACCTCAGACGACCTCCATCACATATTATGACATACCGAATAGTGGCGAATCCTGAAAATAGGTGGTACGTACCAAGAACTCGGAAGTTAAGAAAGGTTTTTAATTCAATTACATGCCAAATCAAAAACTTACTTAAAAAATGGAAGACGTCATTATGGCAAGATCGAGTCACAGCAACTCACGGCGATGTCAGAAAGTTCTGGAAACTTACAAAAACTGCAACTAGAAAGTCTTCAACGATTCGACTTCACGGCGGGGACGGCCTGCTTACATCTATTGAGCAAGCCGAGGTTCTGGTTGACCACTACGGAAGGGATATTTATGTGAGAACAGACCCACAATCAATCATACCCAGTACGACCAGAGACATAAATTTCATGTTTGTAAGTCCTAAAAAATTAAAAACCATTATTCGACGAACCAGCGGTAACCGTGCACCGGGTCAAGACAGTGTACAAACCATTTTGCTAAAGCAACTTCCTCGGAGACGTATAGTACACCTTACAAATTTATACAATACCTGTCTCCGACTGAGATATTTTCCAGAACAATGGAAACACGCAATATTGTTCCCTCTATTAAAACCGGCAAAAACAGGCAATGCTCCAGAACACTATAGACCTATCAGTTTGCTGCCACACCTCGCAAAAAATTTTTAAAAAATAATTCTGAATTATCTTAGGGATTTCTGTAAGGAACAATCGGTCATACTATATGAACAAAAGGTTTCCAAGCACAACTAAACACTTAACACCATTTAATGAGACTGCCACAGCAATGATATCTATAGATTGCTCGAAAGCATTCGATTCAGTATCTTACAGCAATCTCTGCCAGAAGCTACTTGATCTTGAGTGCCCTGAACAGCTCTACATTATCATAACATTCCTTCTTAACAAACCGAAGCCTGGCTGTAAGAGTACAAAATAAACACTCCCGCACTGTCCCCTTAACCTGCATTGTACCCCAAGCAGCAGTTCTTTCACCACTATTATTTTGCATCTACACGGCGGAAATCATAGGTCAGAACTACAAACGCGCTAGATAGTAAGTTAGTTATTAAGTAGTAATAAGATCCTTATAAACCCCCATCACCTTTACTGATACATTTCATAATTATTGTTACAACAAAACATAAAGACAATTTCAATACGGCCGTGACAATTTCAACTGCATCTTAAAATGTAACACAGTTACAGTAAAAGGCGTTCAACACAAAACTTAATTGTAAAATAAATTGTTCATTATGTATTATATTATTGGGGTTAAGAAAATAAATAAATAAACAAAGAAATTAAAAATAAAATATAATAAAATAAAACGTGCTTAGCTCAGGAACATGAATTAGTAGACTATCAATGACTTTACCCGAGAGTTAAAATCTGACGAATGATTCTATTTCATTCTCCACAACAAAGTGCAAAATGCAACTAAGATGTTTTCACTTCAAAATACTTCCTGAAATACTCAAAAACAAAAAGTCGTACGGAAGTGAAATTGCACATTTTATATTTTTGCATGACTGAGAGAATATTTATTTATTTACAAATGAATTTATATTTATAAATGCTGCACATATACATTTACAGATTTAATGGTTGGAGAATTTATTTTAAGTCTAAATACAATAAACCTCTTAAGAATACTATCTTTAATATTGTGACAATTAATGATGTGTTCTTCATCAACAGAACTAATTTTTCTCTATGAAAAATTCTTTAATTTGTTACTTTATTTTATTAATTTTTCTTTTGTAATTCAGTGGTTATAAAAGAAAAAGTTGGAAATTAAGTTTGAAACTTGGTTATAGAAGATATTTTCATAGTTTGAGGCTATTAGCTGATAATTTTTTTATTTTGAAGTCAGTGGTTTCAAGTATGAAATTGAAATTTGGCTTTCCTTTATAGTTATTGTAACTTTCAATATTAAAAATATGAATGTAATTGATGACCCTTGAATCATAATTGAATTGAATATAGTTGATGATCCTTAGATAATAAAGAAACATCTTGAATAAACATCAACACTTTTAGAATTTCAATAATAAGAAAAATAATCATTTCATTTCAGAACTTCTGCAGCACAACAATCTATTTCTTAAAAATCAATCATGATGAGTATCATACCACTTATTCTGGCATCAAAGAAACTACTTACTTTTAGTTACTCGAGATCTCAATAAAGCTATAGATCATCAACTATACCCATATTTTAATGATCAAAGTAACAATAACTATAAAGGAAAACCAAATTTCAATTCTATACTAGAAACTACTAATTTCAAGATAAAAATTGTGTTAGCTAGTAGCCTCTAACTATGGACACTATCTTCATACATCCAAGTTTCAAACTTCAGTTCCATCTTTTTCTTTCATTACCACTGAATTAAAAAGCAAAATTAATAAAATAAAGTAAAGAATTAAAGTATACTCACAATTTTATGTCTATGAAGAAGAAACCAAACTTATCACTTCAAACACTAATATGTATAACTATTAAATAAAAACTACCAATTAGTAAATTAAATCTATTACTAAAACCACACAATTAAACTTTTAAACAAAATATCACTAATAAAATAAGAGTCTGTGACCATAAAACCTATCACTGAACATGAAATCAAAACTATCACTTTAAACACTAAAACGTATAACTATTCAATAAAAACTACATATTAATAAACTAAAACTATCACTTAAACAACAAAATTAAGCATCCAAACTAAAATACTGCTGATAAAATATGAAAATTTAGGAGTTTTGAGGTTAGAAAAACCTTCCATATGTACCATGTGCTCAGCTCAGGAACACGAATTAGTCGACTATTGCCGACTTTACCCGAGAGTTAGAATCCGACGAATGAATCTATTTCATTCTCCACAAAAAAGTGCAAAATGCGCCTAGATGTTTTCACTTCAAAATACTTCATGAAATGCTCAAAAACAAAATGTCGTTTACAGTTTTCTCAAAACTAGCTCTAATAATTTTTAAAATTTGTTGGTCTAAAGTACCTTTAGGCATTTTTTTTTTTAATTTGAAATAATTAACCATTTCACATTGTAACCTAGTATAAAAAATGGTTAAGTATAATTTTTTTTTTTTTTTTTTTTGCACTTACATATATTTATCCGCACCTGTCAATTATAACTAGAAATATAAAATATAAAAGAATCTTATTATTAACGGAAGAAACCGAAGAAACCCGGGCGCACCCGAGCTCAGCCAAAAGGTTATAAAAACCTTCCTCATGCAGCACGTGCTTAGCTAAGTAGCATACGCGCCTTTTTTTTTCATTCTTTCCGAAACCTTTGTCCCGCATGCGCCTCAACAGGACACTTAGTTGACAAGTTGGAATATACCTGTTGATGTTTGTTTATTTGATCGATCATTATTATTTATCTTTTGATATTACTGTTTTAATTATGGTTTACAGAATGCTAACATTTTTTATAATATAAATATAATGAGTTCTTAAAACTGTGATTGAAAAAAATTAAATTTCGTTCAGTTATTATTTTTGATCTCGCACGTCGTCTTGCTTACTGTTATCACAGGTAATATTATAATTATTATTATTATGATTTTAACTCTATTCACTTTTCTATAGCTTTTATAAGTTTATGATTGTAATTTGTATATTATGTTTTAGAATGTAACTATGAATTCTTTGAAAAAATAATTGCTGTATTTTCATTTAATGAATTTCAATTTTATTGAGTGGTCATATTAATCTGTTGGCTGCCTGCATAAGCTTAAGGGCGCCTTATTTTAAATACTTATTGTAATATTGTAAATAGCTGCCTGATCTATCATATGGATTAAACCAAATTTTCAGTCAAGATATTTTTATTGGGTTAGCCACGAGGTTAATATATAAATAAAAATAGCTTGACTGAAAGTCCTGAAAATTTTGTTTCATCCTTGAATACTTATAGTCTTACAAATGAAGTTCAGACAAATTAAAATGATAAATGATGAAATATTTGTTATAATTGTAAAACCGGAAAATGATCTGAATTTGTAAAATATTCAGTATTTTTTCTCTCTTAATCTTAGTTAACAAGAATAAATTATTCAATAAAATGGGTTATTAATGATAATTTATTTTATTTTGAGTGAAAATTACTGTTTTTTTTTTTTCTTTATTCTTTAACTTTCTTCTTGTGCACTTCAGCCTTGAGCTAAGTTAACCCAACCCAGGATGTCTAGCTCCATCTCTTATAAGAGTCTTCATCTCCTGCAATGTATTTTCGCTCGCTTATCCCAACTTGGAAATTATTATATAGTTCAGTATAGCTATTATAGTTGAGCTTTGGTCTTCCTCTAGGTCTAGTGCCTACTGGTCTCGCCTCGATACATTTGTGTGGGTCACAATTAGGGCTCATTTTGGGCACATGCCTGTACCATCCCAACTTTTCTCCAGAGTCTCCTTCATTAGAGAAATATTTAGTTCTTTCCTCATAGTTTCCTGCAGTTATTCGGCTACATTTATTGTCCGTGAGTAACCAGCTCTCGTCTAGATATAGCAGAAAAGGCATATATATAGCCTTGAAAATATGGAGCTTGAGGTCTTTATTGATCTTAGTCTTTCCTACGATTGTGTTTCTAATGAAATAGTACATACTATTAGCGTTTCGTATTCTGTGGGATATTTTTGGTTGGACTTTTCCATTTCTGCTGATCACAGTTCAAAGGTAGGAGGACTCATTCATGACTTTAAGCTCCTCACCACTGCACATTATGTATGTGCATTTATGGGCTCTCGTCCTTATTGTAGTATTTTCCTTTTTCTTGCATTAGTATTCATGCCCTTTCTTCCCAATTCTACTCTCCCACTCTAAGGGTTTGCTAGAGATTATATGGAGTTTCACAGCTTTAGAATATTTGTATTATTTCTAACAGTTATAACATTACTGTATATGTGTAAAATAAAAACTGTATATAAAATTACATTATATGTAATTTATGTAGTGATGATGTTGTATTTTCCTTCAACATCTTAAGTTACCTGCCAATTTATTTAATGCAATTTTATATATATTTTTAAATAATCTTTATTTCAGTAGAAAAATAATAAACAAGTAATCAATGATTGATATTACAGGGACTGATTATGGAGAGTCCACTCGAGCATGGATCTGAAGACCATTGGGTTTGGAACGAACATGACAAGAGTTGTGATGTGTGTTTACATGGACAAGAATCAAATCGCTTATGCCTTGCATATTTCCGCCCCCAATACACATCTGGTACTGCAGCTGTTAGAGGCACAAAAGTCCTCAATAATGGAAGGTACTACTGGGAACTTGAACTTCCTTTGGTGATATCTGGAACCACCATAATGTTTGGTGTTGCAACGAAAAAGGCAAGACTTAATGCTCATTTGCATAGGAACTTACTATGGAGAGATCCGCACATCTGGAGTTTATCCCATGACGGAGCAATCTTCCATGGAGGTAAATGGGCTCATTACACAGAACCTTTCCAAGATAGTGTTGCTACAACATTAGGAGTTCTGTTTGATGGCATAGAAGGAACATTAACTTTTTATAAAGATGGTGTTTGTTTAGGAGTGGCATTTAAGGATTTACACAAAATTAATGAAAACATATACCCCATTATTGCATCTACTGCAGGAGTGACATATAAACTATCCTTGAAGAAGAGGGACTTCGGGAGTTTACAAGAAAGGTGTCGAGCTGTACTTCTTTCTCAATTAAAAGGACCGAAAGTACCAAAAACAGACCTTGGAAGGTTGGTTTTGGTACCTACACCATCTTTGCCTGTAGCAATAAGGAACTATTTAAATGAATCTATAGCAAAAACAGGTGTACGTGCAGAGAGATTCAATGATTTCGATTGAATATAAAAATGATGTTTTTTGTGATTTCTATCTCCACTTAACGACATGTTTTGTCATTAAATTATTTTATTTATTCGATCTATGTTTTTTTTTTCATTTTTTATGATTTGTAATTTACTATTAGAAAAACAAACTTATCTGTTTTAAGTTTCTATGTTTGTTATAAGATTAGTTTCTGTAAATATAAAACTTTGATACTTCTACACATTCTTTATTCACCTATTAATTTTCAAAGTTTCAAACAGACATCGTTTTTAAGAAAATTCTAACATTTAATTTTGTCATCCCAGTCCCATCTTAACCCCTTAAATTTCCATTAATGCTGGAAGTACGCCATCCCTTCTTACTGTTTAATCTATTTTAAATTTTAGGATGCCATATTTTTTCCTGCCTCAGCCACTCAAGAATTTTTACGTCTTCTGTGATTACCACTTGAGTTTTTGATATTTCTCACAGACTTACTTCTTTTTCCTCAAAGTCTCAGAATTTCTTAATATTCTGACAGTGGTCTTCATTGAGACTTTTTCTCAACTTCTATCATGCTCCTCGTTTTGCTTGATTGACTATTCCTTTGGATTGGTTTGGTCAAATATTATTAATTTTGTTTTTTTATGTATTTTGTCTTTAACGTAGGCCTTCCATGATTTCTTCTGTAATTGAATAACATGACATACTTCTTCATTCCACCACTCTGTGCACTTCCCTTGATATTTTGCCTAAACCACTAACTTCTCTTACTACTTCTAAGATACAGGTTCTGAAATGGCATCACTGCTGTTCTGTATCATCATACAGACTAATAATTGTTAGTTTTCTTTCCGATTTTACAATCTAGCAGGTTCTCTTTACAGCGTCATCTAGAATTTTTATATTTAATATTTGGTAATGTGTCTCTGCGGAATTTAAATATTGACTATTAGTAGCAAATGATAGCTGACGATTTCTGTGCCTCTTATTACTTAAATTTCGACAAAATACTGTATTATACAACGATCATATATGAAATAGTCGGTAATGTTGTTTATTTTCAGATAGGTTATTTTGAATACCCTTTGGTGAGAAAAGAAAGAATGAAAGAGTTGCCCACAAGCATGTCATTGTCCATTCCCATTCCTTACTATTTTTCCTCAAGTTTGTGTTGGATAAGTCCCTGCCATAGGTTATTTATATTTAATATTGATACAAATAAATAAACTATGGTTAGTAGGTAATGTACCATCAGGAAAAAATTATTTTTAAAAAGTTACCAGTTCGTAAAAGTAACAGAGAGAATTAAAAAAATATTGTGTTATAATAGGTATTGAATATTTGGTCACAACATTATTGCTGTGTTCTGTTTTTAAATTATGATTTAATCCAACATTCTTTATCATATTTTAACATACCAATTGATAAATTTCCATGACCAAAATATAAAAGATTTTGACAAAAGAAATCTTCATCGAAAAATAGAAGTGACTGTTTTAAATAATATAGTTAAAATCCACAAAATTATTTTGATAGTACAATTTAATTTTTAAGTTTTTATATCTAATTATCATAGGAAAACATCCTTATGATGGAGGAAGCCCCAAATTCTTGATGAATTAATGTAATAAAAACAAAATGTAGAATTGTAAAGAATGAAAGATCTATTTTCTTAGAAAACTGCAATTTGAGCTAGCATCCATCTTTACAAATATTTATCTTATTTTAATAAGGGGCCACGGTGGTCAAGCAAGTTAAGGCAAAAATTTCATATCGAGTGTTCAAATTCCGTTCTGGGGTTTAATAAGAAAAAATAAATTCAAATTAGTGCAGGCTTGATTGCTTAGGTCACTATGGGGCAGGTTCAATTCCCACATAGGGATGGTAACCTCCCCACCCAGAGATTCACAAGGAGGTGAACAACCTCTGTGAGTTATACAACAGCTCCTGGTCCTCCAGATCAGGGGTTGATTATAGGACTACTAATCAGTGCCTGATGAAGTGAATTTTGATTGCGTCCGATTAGTAAACCACGTGCTCCCTGGATATCTTTTAAAAAAAAAATTAATATATTTTATTCATAAATTGGTTGTTATGTCAGTCATAGGCATATACTTTCCATTCTGATCGTGAGGGAGGACGAGAGACGATGGACCCACCAAAAAAAGTCTTATTTTTTAAAATTAATAAGTTTAATATTATTCTAGTCTCCTATCATTTTAAGAAAAGATTATAAAACGTGAAACATTCCTCAAGATAGGACAACTACACAACCTCAGTATAAAATTACTACAATATTTATATAAATTCAAGAGAAGAGATATGACAAATCCATCAAAATTATTTTAAACCTGTAAAAAAGAAACATTCATATGGCTGAATAGGTCTTACCTGGTTTTTGAGTGTGTTGAGAATGACTGAAGAGCAGGATAACAACACATATGATGTAGATAGGGTGAGTTAGGAATATTTTAGGATGTTTGCTTAAATACATATATTGAAAAAGGAATTTAATAAAGATTTAATTTAATATAAATTTGCCAAGTACTAAACAGTTAGCCTAAACTTTACATATAAATTTTAGGAGTTTCGTATCAAAAACTCGACGCCGAATGGATATTAAACCACAATTTCAATGGATGTTCAACCAAGATTTCAATGAATATTCAACTGAAATAGTATTATAATAGACAGTCTATTGGAAATGTTCAAATATAGAATACAGGCTATACCATTTAAAAATAGAATAACGTTTAAAAAATAGTAATAGGATTTTTTTTTTTTTTATGCTTTTGGATATTGAAAATATCTAACAAAACAATTGGATAAATTACAATTTGTATACATTAAACATAAGATGGAGGGATATAGCTTCCATAACATAGGGTACATTTCTAGAAATTTTTCAGCTAAAAATGGATAATGTTAAAACTGAAAAATACTTATGATTTTTAATTTGTACAACCTCCAAATAAAAATAAAACGTTTTCTAATTCTAACTATGTAAAAATATTCTGTATAAGATATATTTATACTTGAACGTATTAAATAAATTTTTTCCAACTTTATGGCAGAAAATTTATAAGAAAATTATGTGAAAATGGAGGTGGCCACATGAAAAGTGAATGAATAATAAAATCCAAGGATATGTTTCTGTATTATTCCTGAAAATGAATGAAAATTTGAATAATAGGAATATTTAGGTTGTGATAAAATAGTTACGTTCCTACTTATAGGCCTCAGCTAGCTAGTTGACTTTTCTTATTTTCCTAATCGATTTTAATTTACATATTTTATTCATTAATGTAAGCTTATTTGTTATCAATTTTAATTTGATCGCCCCCCTAAGTCTGCGCCTATGATCTCATCCTCAAGTTATAACGTGTCGCAATAGCTAATTGGCAGTTTTTTTTTGTTTTTTTTTAATAAAACAAGGCTGAGATTTGTTTGAAGGATATTTCCTTATTACTTTCTCTTTGGAGATAAGTGTGAAATTTTTATTAATTCATCAGTGTTTTGCTATTTCTTAGTTAAAAAAAGCTGTGTAGAATTTATTTTGGGTTCTTTAGTTATGTAAAAATACCTGGTTGCCCCAAAAATTTGAAGATCTACTACTGGTGCAAAATATGCTTTCAGAATTCCTTAAGTTTTTCATGAATAATTAACTAGATTAAGTGTACCAGTTATGGACACAGCTAATGAAATTTTTGGCTTAAGCCGCCGGTATTATTATAATTATAAATTTCTCCGTTGAACATTTAGAATCTCTAGGGTCTCATTTTTCTATTTAACATTTTAAAATTGAAAAAAAACAAAAAAACATTCAATTATGCTGGTATAATCTCTAGCAAAAAACCTTTTTGCACTAGTGACGGATATCTCGAAATTAAATTGTTTTAGTACTGGACTGGGAATCAGTACCAGTAATAGACATACCTCAGAAAAATTATAAAATATTTATTTAACTATAAAGATAACAATTAAGATAAGATACCATAAATGTTCAACTTACTCTTAGTAAAACTGTTAGTAGGAAGGTATGAAATACACTGATCTCAAGAGAACTATTGAAACAACAATGATGGGCATTTTTTCTGGCAACTGTTTCAGTTATCAATAGATGCCATTTTTCTCCAATCTAAAAAAAAACTGGAGCCTTTTAATCAACAAGGAAACTTATCATTTACATTTAAAGTCCAACCTGTCCATCGCTGGGTCTACTGCCCATAACTGGTGCGTTCACTCTAATTGACTGTATATTAAAAAAAAGTGTCGTAAAAGACTAAATTTTCTGCCAATTAAACCCATTTGCAAAAATCCACCTCCCGAAGTAAAGCTGTGGTTCACATTAATGTTAACATTTTTTCTTCAAGTGTCTATTACTGGAACATTATATATCCTAAAATCTTCAGAATAAATACTCCCTGAAGTATTACACAAAATAACTCAATGAGGGGGTCATATATATTCACAACAACCACATCCATACTTACTATCATATAACCAGCAGAAAAGAATACATATTTACTACATCTTCTGATTTTCAAATGCAATTAATTTACAATTTAGTTCATTGATATTATTGTGAAGCGGAGAATGGATTTTTATTTTTTAGTTAAGGATTTTAGACATTTTTATAATTTTCTCAAAAAGAGCTCTAACAATTTAAACTGAACTTTTTATATCAATGTAAAATTGAATGTTCCTTAATACTAATTAGATCTTATCCTTCATTGAAATGCCAAGATTTCTTCCTCTAAATACCTTTAATTTTGCTTATTACAAAAAATTTAAGATTGTTAGTAATGATCCTTTACCCCTACTCTATTGAATATTGCTTTGGTGTATGCAATAAGGGCGATCCGGACGTGTCATGGTAGCACTATTTATAATAGGATGATGCAGCATCTAGCTTATGCTGATGATGTAAAAACAGCAATAGCAGGGGTACTTGAAAAATTTGTAATAGCAGCAAAACAACTAGGGTTTCAAATAAATGAGAAGAAGACTTTACATGCAATCTTCAAGAATGTGTCACATTAGGTAATCACATCCTGAAAGCGGTAAAAAAATTTATGTATTTAGATGTTTTAATTACAGAAAGTAGTGTTTTGACGGAAGAACTGAAAGCAAGAATGGTTGCTAAGAAAAGATGCAGCCTTGCCATGAAAAAATTGCTAAATTATAACTCTCGTAATACAAAAATCACAGCAAATGAGAAAGTTATAAGAACCATTGTTATCTATGGTTCTGAGACTTGGATAATCTTTAAGGTCTCAGAAAGCAAGCTATTCGTAAAGGAAAGAAGGGTTCTTCACAGGATCTACTGTCTGGTGTGTGAGGATGGT